TAGAAAAAAACCACGGGCGATGTCACCTACGTGAAAACATTAATCAAACAAAACGATATACAGTTCTCTCACTGCTCGCTATCTGTCTGTCATTACTTCCCGAAATTGCAATTCTGAAACCTATTTGAGCTATATTTCCAAAATGCATAACCTGTATATATCGCTTAATAGCAATTCCTGTTCATTTTCATAAATAAAAAAATTTGAGTGCTATACCTGAGATACTTAAAAAAATAATTTGTATAACTGAAGCCGTGCGCGTGACAGCGTGCATGGCACGTGCTGTTAACACGACGGCGATAACTGACACAGAAAGTCGGCGGGGAAGTTCTGTTTCCACTGTTTTGATTCCCTATCGTAGCGATATAACAAAATCGGTGACCAGCTGCATCACTATGACAATGATAATGATGTGGGGATAATTACCTAGCAACGCCCTTTCAAAATGCAATAAATCGTGACTGACAACTACAATAAGTGAGCAAAACACACAGGAACCTGTTATTGGTCAGTAAATAAAAATATATACCCCCTATATGTAAGTAGAGAAAAGGAGCGTCACTCGCCATCTTGCCGGTTTGTTTACATTCGATATCCACGGCGATTTTTTTATTATAAGCTTATTGACAAGCGCATTTCTGGCCGTAGATTGATCGATAATACATTTCTACACATCTACAAGTCATCTACATTCGAACAATGTCCCTTACTTACCGAAATATCGACAGTTTATTTCGGACCTGGGAAAATGTTACCAACCCCGAGCGGAAGTAAATTTCAAACGCGGGCAGAATCGAGCGAGCCACCTGATTGGCTGACCTTCTTATGTCAAGTTTGCATGGAATTTGATCACAGATGGACACAACACACTAATCTGGCGAGGCCGGCACAGGAAAAACGGTTCTTATCAAGGAAATTACGGAGAGACTGAGGAGAAATGGAATCTATAGTTCTGACATGTTACTGTTGACTTTAAACAATTCAAAGATAATACTTTCAAACAGTTAGCAGAGTATGCAATGGGTTCCTTCTCAAAATTTTGCTGAGGAGCAATATTTTCTTTCTCATCTGATATTCTGTTAGGAGATATGCCCTGACAGTATCTTGTCATATTCAGTGTCGAAAAGAATGAGTTACGGTTTTTTGAGTCGTAATGTATAGACTGAATACCAAAAGTGTCATTTATTACTGTACCACTGACGGAAAGATGTACATGCCCATCAGTAGAAAATCTCACTTGTAAATATATCATGTTCCCATTACAGGATAATCCTGTCTACCTTCCAACAGTTATAGAGTCTTTAGTTTGCTGCAGTATAAAATAGTCTTTTGGGATGTTATCAGATATTGCAGCAAATTCAATGTTTTGAGTCTGTTCAGATCTCACATTGATGCCACGGTAAACCGTGATGTTTTTGTCCAATCACCAGGTTATCGGTGCCTGGTTGTGGTGATATTTGGAAAATCATTTTTTTAAATATTTTCCGACAAACACCTTTGATCTGTGACCAAAGTTGTCACAAAATTTCTGGAAAATCTCTTCAACTTGTATAGTACTTTTGCTATCTTCAACATACTTTTCATGTAACCTATGAGAATGTTTCAAGAACTTTACATAAATGAAAATTGAATTATTGTAACATCGCAAAATAACTGCCATTGGTAAGATTCAGAATTTCATATGTTATAATGGCACATCATGAGATTTGGGTGTGTTTGTGATATTCATATTATCATGTAATGTTGTAATTTACTCATTTTTCTCAAATAGATTTATTACTTTTGCATTCATGATAAATATTAACTTGAAATGTTCCCTTTATTCATTTTAATCTGCATGACCAGTATTCATAATGTCATCAGGCACAGGCAATATACATGACAATGTGCCTATTATATTAAAATAGTGATGTATAGTTTAAAATTCACCAGCTAATAATAGATAAGCTTTAGATGACAAGTATAATATAAAATGAAAAACATATTCATAATAAATATTTACCATTTGAAGAAATTATCTGATGTCATTTTTTAGATTCTGCTGTCACTCCAGATAACTGTCTTCATATTTCGCACTAATTTCTATAATTAGAGGGCTGCGTATTTTCAGCCAATCAGGTGGCTCGCTCGATTCTGCCCGCGTTTGAAATCTACTTCCGCTCGGGGTTGGTAACAATTTCCCAGGTCGCGAAAAAAACTGTCGATATTTCGGTAAGTAAGGGACATTGTTCGAATGTAGATGACTTGTACATGTGTAGAAATGTATTATCGATCAATCTACGGCCAGAAATGCGCTTGTCAATAAGCTTATAATAAAAAAATCGCCGTGGATATCGAATGTAAACAAACCGGCAAGATGGCGAGTGACGCTCCTTTTCTCTACTTACATATAGGGGGTATATATTTTTATTTACTGACCAATAACGAGTTCCTGTGATCTCATCCCTCCATGTCCCCTCTGGCAGGTAGATGTTTCTCTGGGAGACGCCAGGATCCATGACTGGAGCCACCAACAGGTCGTCCCCGACAAGGAATTCGTCATCCACGGTCAGGGCGGACTCATCCGTCGGAGCAATCCACCACAGGGGCCGCATGATTGGGAAGCCAGTAATTACGCATTGCTTTGCAAGGTAAACGATCTTGTCAGCATAACTAGCTCTCAGTTTCAGCATGTTTTGTGTTATTTGGACAACTGTGGAATTGTATCTCCAAGGCTTGATTCCGAACTGCATTGATGGCAAAAGAGTTGTTGCCTGGACCCAGCGTACAAAGAGCTCAGCTTCAGGGAGAACACCATCTCGGAGATTGCCACCAATCATATCAGGAAGAACAAAAGGATATCCGAGGATTCCAAACACGAGGGATGCAGTCAGGATGATTTTAAAGCCTTGGTTATCGGACCAGTTGGAATACCTGTCCACCATTCTTGCTACCAGGTCGCACTTCATGGCGCCTGCTGATGTCGTCAAATGCCCAAGCACCCTCGACATACGCTCTGGAAAACACCTTTGGGTTTCTGAACTCTGTGTAAGGCTTATACACTGCCGGCATGTAGTTTGCATCGCCTCCATCAAACTTAAACGAATCCACACCATATTTAGTCCTGAGGGCAGCAAGGCTTTCAAAGTACCACTTTGAAGCATTGGGGTTAGTAAAGGCCAAAACTCCTGTGTAGTTTGCCTCCCACCACTTTGCCAGGGCAGGCCTCTGTCCTGACATTTCCCTCAGCAAGTGCCTCCTTGCCGCCAGTAATTCAAAGTTAGCAGAGTCAAGATTTACAAATGGGGGAATCCAAAATGTCGCAGACCAGCCCTTTCTGTGAAATTCCGCTATCATGCCTTTAGGGTCTGGAAACTTTTCTAAATCAAACTCTATATCTCCGAAGTTCGGCATCCATTTCTTATCAATTACGAAATTGGAGACATCCATGTTATATTTCTGAAGTTCCGAAGCAAACTGAAGCGCTAAGGACTGGTTGATACTCTTCTTATACTCTGGCCATGTTGACCAAATTGGTTTTCTGAAAATATTTTCGTTCGGAATTCCACCTGGCTTTTTGAAGTACCAGCTGGACATGGCTTGATGAATAGACAGAGCATTTCTGGCTTGACAAACAGTATAGTTGAGCAGAGGCAGAGACATATCGTAGTTCCTGTACGTCAAACCAAAATATTTAGCCTGGAAGCAGAGCTGATGGTTTCCTGACGAGTTGATAGCAACAAACAACGGAACATCATCCTCAATGTAATATGCCATTCCCGATGACGAGAAGAAGTAACGTTCCTGTACACTACCGTATGGAAATATATTGTTGTCATTGGTAACGTAAGGTCCAAAGTCCATGCTAACCCTCTCGAGTGGCCACAGCTGATACATCATCTCAGCACCACCATACCAGTGGGCCCCTTCCATGTTGTAGCAGTCCTCCAGTATTTGACTAACACAGGACCTTGCTTCCATTGTGATCTGGGTGCACTCTACCCCGTCTCTTGTAAAGCTATTGGCGTCAAGGTCAGCAACACCAGGCCAAGTTACGTGGAGTTTGGATTTACCTTCTAACGTTATTACAGGTATGGGAGTGCCTGGAGAAAAGGTCATGCCCAGCTTTCCATGTATTTTGGTCCGGCCATTGTCGTCTAGAAAGGCGACCCGTCTGTTTTGGAAAATCAATGACTGCACGACCAAGAGCAACGTCCCCTTGATGCTGGTTGATGTATTGTGGGGACGCAGGTTCCAGTAGGATGCCCCCAATAATCGACAGGCAGAAAACCAACAGAATTAGGGTATGTATTATGATCATCATCTTTCTGCTGACAGCTCGTACCTTCAACATACAAAATACCGGGAAAGGTTTACTTATCGAGGTTGAATGAGTGAGCAGGATTACGTCCGCTAGAAATCGTCGAGCCATATCACGACGAGGTAACACCATAAATGGACTTCAGACACTGTACTCATGAGAGGAACAGAACCCGGACTTCTTCAAAGTGGACGAACAAATGCTTTAATAACTAGGCTACCCTAGGTCCCTTTGCGACAAGCCCATTAAAATATGGAAGAAGAACAATATATAAATAGGTATTGTTTTAGATTATACAAATATCTAATACAACAATACAACTTTCTATTGTCGAGCACGACAATAATACTATAAATTATAGTACGTTGTCATATGATAGGTTGTGTCAACATCAGCACGGTAAAGTAATGATTAAATCGGCCACATTTGATAAAGATGGTATCAGTTTATCCTACAAACGCATATCGATAAGCAACACAAAGTAGAGTGAGTGAGTAAGGTTTTACGCCGCTTTTAGCAATATTCCAGCAACATCACGGCGGGTGATACCAGAAATGGGCTTCACACAATTTACCCATGTTGGGAATCGAACCCGGGTCTTCGGCGTGACGAGCGAACGCTGTAACCACCGATACTTACCGAATAACAAGTACCTGCATAAACAAGATCTCGGAAATACGTACACGTCACGTGGAAACGAGATTACGATAAGGACGACGAGAGGCATAAGTCAGTACGTCTGATGCTGATAATAAGGTAGGCCACAGTCATATGCCTAATACCGTTCTAAAAATAACCATTGTTAAAACTGGGTACAAAGTAAAGGATTTACGTAAAAAATAAGTCTTGATACAATCCACTGAAACAATTAAACAAGTGCACAGATCACCTCTTAATCCATTGCTTGTCGTCTCATATGAACTTATATTATACGTTTTATAGTGTATCATAATAGCCGATACCATCAATCGCAAACATTTCTCGTCTCAACCAGGCTGTCAAGATATGAAATCTCGAGAAATGCAATTCACTCACTGAATCTTTTTCACCGAATTCACTACGCATTGAATTGAATCAGCATCCCAATATGTCTTAGACTATGGTGTTAACTTGTTACTTTTTGTTTGCTGAATCTAAGTGTGTCAGAGGTCTCCTGTTCAGGTCAAGGCAATGTCTATGTTATCTGGACATTATAAAACAGTCCCACAAATTCCATTCAATGGTGTGAACACGTGGGTCAAAGAAATCTCGACGCACGCTGTTCTCTGCCTTTTTACAAAACCGGATCATTGATTAATAAGCACTGATCATCAAACAAAGCCTAAATTGTGTGATTAAGTTTGGGTTATTTAACTGTAAATGTAATAATAAAACATTTTCTTTCTGACACACATTTTCTATGAACTTCGATGCATTGAAAATCATTCTGATGTGAATAATGGCGCTTTCCTGAAACTAATATCGAGATAAAACGAACATCATAGAATTTTGTCAATTAACTAATGATTCAGAAGCTGGATACTCGGTAGTCTCGGGTAAGAATTTATCCCATCATTCAGCTCGATGATTAAGTGAATTGCATGCCTTCGTATCTGCTCATAATATCGACCACTTGTTTGTCTGGCCAAAATTCGGTTACTTACAGGTCATCGAGATATTGCTTGAACATAGCTAACTGCGGCGTAAAACATCAAAAATGAATTCGGCTAAAATTGAACGCCTATTTCTGTAAAATAATGCAACGAGTCACAAGTGGTTTTGTAACATTAATAAGAATCAATTACTTTTTATGTAACGTTGGTCCATGTGCAAAGACTGCAATCGAGAAACATTTGAGGACCGTGCTGCAATAATAAACAGTATATCATAAAATGATTTTGTTTTGAATATTGAAAAGAACATATTTCATCCCTTGGTGGCCCAGTTGTCTAAAAAACGAAATACGCTGTTCAGAGTTTCGTCCCTTGGCGTGACAGGATCCTATGACCGTGGGATTTAAATCCCAGATTGACCCTAATCATGATCCTTGATTTGCCAGCATCATATCCTCACATATTAAGTTAACATCATGCCCTGATATAACTGAACCAACGTTTAAAGTGTTCACTCATCCACCTGTAACAAAAGTTTCGGAATTTATTCGGACATCTCTATTTGCCTTTTGTAACCTACCATTTTTTGTGTGGTTTTGAAGAATTAATGGCTTGCTAAAAATAGATATTTGTTTTGACCTACTTGTTTTCGGGAATGTTGTTTATGAAAAGTGACGATAGTCACCATAGTCACGATATCCGTTTATTATTTTTCATTCCACTCATGTCACTGAAGGGTTGCGATATCTCCCCTTTTACCGTATGTTATTTTTTCAGCAGACAACATGACACGCCTCATCCTGTGTGTCCTGGTGTCTGTCCTCAGCTGGAGTCAGGCTCACCCAAACAATGATGAATATATCCAGATTGGCTCCCATGTCCTCCAGCTCGGCTCACCAACCACACTTCATCTGACTTCCGGACGTGGATCTACTATGGCCCTCCTTGACAGATCAACAGATGCTCCGACAGCCAAGCTTACTCACAAAACACGCACTGGCCCAAGTAGGAGCAATGAGACTGAGGTGGAATTAACCAACCCGAACATTGCTAGACGGCACTTAAGAAGCTACCTATTTGATGATGTGGAATGTTTAGATATCTCCATCGAAGCCTTGGAATGTGTGACCCAGGTCATCACCGATTGCATATTCATGAACGGAACACACTGGTATGGTGGGGCGGAGATGCATCAACAGCTTTGGCCTTTGGAGAAACTGAGCATGGCTATGGGGCCTTATGTTGCCAGTGACAATTCTGCTTTTCCTTACGGAGCTGTTCAGGAGAGATACTTCTATACATCTTCAGGTATTGGTATCTGGATTGAGGAGGATATTCCTTTGTATGTTAGTATAAATGCAACTGGAGACCACATGCTCTGTCTGCAATCTAAGTATGACAACAGTATTTACAGAAACTTTGACAACTCTCTACCAGTTCTGAACTACACCATGTGTGTTGAGAAGGATGTCATGAGCATCCATACGTTCATGTCAGAGCGGTACATCAGCAAGCCAACTGGGACACCAAACGAGGACGTCCTGAGAAAACCTATTTGGTCAACATGGGCACAGTATAAGAAGAACATCAACCAATCGTTAGTCCTGGAATTTGTTGACAATATCCTTAAGAATAATCTCACAATATCTAACCTAGAAATTGATGAAAAGTGGATGCCCAATTTTGGAGATCTTGTATTTGATACCATGAAATTTCCTGACGCTAAAGGTATGGTTGATGAAATTCACAGAAAGGGAATGGCAGTTACAACATGGGTTCCTCCTTTTGTTAATCTTGAATCCAGTAACTTCGACTATGCTGCCTCAAAAGGGTACCTGATGAATGACATGTCAGGAGGTCGTCCGGCCCTGGTGTCTTGGTGGGAGGCCAAATGGGCTGGTATTATCGACTTCACAAACTCCGAAGCCACGGAATGGTTTCTAGGCAATTTAGCGAACCTTAGGACAACTTATGGTATTGATTCTTACAAGTTTGATGCTGGAGATGCAAATTATCTACCTTCTGATTACAAACCAGCTAAAGAGTTCCGTAACCCTGATGTTTTTGCCCGATCCTATGCCGAAGCTGTTGCAAGGGTAGACAACTCTAGTCGTCGGCATGAAGTTCGAACCGGAAGGAAGACACAGTCGCTACCTGCGATGACAAGAATGATTGATAAAAATTCTGACTGGACCTATGAACAGGGTTTGAAGACAATCGTTACGTCAGGCCTTGTTTTCAGTTCCATTGGCTATTCCTTTATCCTCCCTGATATGGTTGGCGGTAATGGTTACGGTGGTATTTGGCCGGATGCAGAACTCTTCATCAGATGGACACAGGCCAACGCACTGATGCCAACTATCCAATTTGCCATCACTCCCTGGACGTATAACAATTCAACACTAATGTCTATCATCCAACAGATGCTGACTTTGAGGGGAAAGTATGCCGACACCATTGTCGGCCTTGCCAGAGAATCAGTCACAACTGGTGCTCCAATCATGCGGCCCCTATGGTGGATTGCACCTACAGATGAGTCGGCCCTCACTGTGGATGATGAGTTCCTGCTTGGTAATGACCTTTTAGTGGCCCCAGTACTAAATCCAGGGGTCAAATCTAGGAAAATATATTTGCCTGTCGGACAATGGAGAGACGAGATCCACGGCACAACTGTGTCAGGGGGACAGTGGATAGACTATCCAGTACGACTTGAAGACCTCCCCCATTTCACGAAGCTCTCGTAATATGTGAATTGTTATAGTACATAATGAATTCGTTTTAATTAAAGAGCTCGCAGCTAATTTGTGTGGTTAATACGATAATTGGCGTTGATAGGGGGCGCTGATCTGGACATGAGGCGCCTTAAACCACGCGACCACCAGAAGGATTACAGAGGAGAACATCACTATACCCTTTTGTGAACATTCTGGGGTATATGACCGAACGAAAATGGTATCAAATGAGGTATTACCCATGTTAACATGTATGTTGGCATTATATGTGCATTATCATTTCCATGCAAACATGACACAAGCAACATTCAACATCTTTATTTGATAATTACTTTCGCAAACACCGTGTATCATCACTGTTTAATAGTGATTCATAAGAAAACGGAGGGTTTGTGTATTCAAGCGCGTTGGTCGCCAGTACTCAGAACAACTGTAAAAACACCTACAAAGACAAACCGTTCGCTCTTTGAATCTCGTATCTACAGTGGGTCTCTCATAATTGTCGCTGGCACTGTTGGCCCAGTCGTCTGAGGCGCTGCAATTCGATGTGTAGAGCTGCCTCCCTTGGCCACGCCAGAACCAAAGGATTGTGGGCTTGAATCCCGGTTCGCCCCGATGATGAACTAGCTTTGTGAACACCATACCCGTGCTCGTACACTTCACCATAGCAGTAAACGTCTGAGACCTGCATCACTTAGGGCTTTCCTCCCACATGAAGCTGACACGTACATGTACATAACTAGTGAGTGATAAATGATTATATAACCCGAACAACACATTAGTTCTGTTATTGTATCAAGGCTTCTACCATTGGCATCAGCATGAAGTATAACAATGATATTTCCCGATGTTTTTATCATTTCTCCCTTTTCAATGAGCATCCTGCACGTAAAGTAAACAATAAAATATCTATGTAAACATATCCAGTCTAAGCCAATTACACGCTGTCATCAATAATATTTTGATAAATTGTGTTTCATAAATTCAATAATTCTGCCCCAACCTCTACATACACAACTTTCAGTCTAATTGATTGGTCGTGGTCTGCGTGTTTAATCAGGGGCTTGTTGTTCCGCTAGATTGTTCATTCAGCTGAATGTCCTCAGGGTGAAACAGTCGCCTGTTGGAACATTCGTACAAGCTTCAGCACATGGTTGACACTGGTCTATAACATTCCCGGGCATTGATAGCTGTGAGTTGTGAGTATAAGTCTATTACTATTTTTTAAGGACGTTTCTAATTGATTTGGAATAATATATATTTGAAACTGTTATTATGTAACTATACAAAGTGGATAAACGTTTTGCTATGCTTTCGATAAGGATTTATGATGGTCATCGCTAGTCCTGCAAAAATAGGAACAAAGGAAACCCAACACCATGATACACAGACATCAATGAAGTAACATATACATGTATATACCTGGACAAATATGAGCATTGCTTACTATGTATGTCTAGATAAAGTAGTATTAGGTACCCAGTATCAGGTTTGTGATGAAACACATTTGATTTTGTTGAAGTGTGGCACATTCATAATAAATTACAGATACCATAATCCACAGGCAATACTATCAGCTATGGGGGCACGGGTGGCCCAGTCGTCTAAGGCGCCGCGATTCGCTGTGCAGAGTTGCGTCCCTTGGGCACGCCAGACACCTATGATTGTGGGTTCGAATCCCGGTTCGCCCCAATTATGTTTCTAGGTTTGTCAGCACCATACTCGGGCTCGTGGGTTTCACCGAAGTGGTAAACGTTTGAGACCTGCATCACTTCGGGCTTTCCTCCCACATCAAGCTGACACGCCGTGATATAACTGGAATACTGTTAAAAGCGGCGTTAAAACCCAACTCACTCACACTCACACTATCAGCTATAGCAGTATCGAGGGGTATATGTGGGTTTATGCGTCCCACGTTAGGTTTTATACCACGAGCCTGTTGAAATTATATCACTGAAATGGATCACTGAAAATCAGTGAGGACACCAGATAACCAGGGTGAGCATGTCCTGGTAGCACACGTTAAGCAGTTCAGGATATATGAAAATAAGGAACGAGTGATGCCTGGCGTTTTCCAGGAGTGTAGTTATACGGAATATAATACTGTTGAAGACGTTTTACCGAAAGGAATTATATGGTTATTCTCTTTCTGGTGTTTACAGTTCGTCTCAGTCATAACACAACGTGTTATCTGTGTCAGGTGTTCACAATGCGTCCGACGCGGGTCCACGCGGAGTCCAGCCAGGTGAACATGTCAAGCTTCTCCCAGGCGTCTGTGCGGTCAAGGGCCGAGCTGGACGATGCTGTCAGGAAGGTGTTGGGTGGCCACAGGAGTCGAGTGGTAGAAATATGTAAAGGAAACCCAGTGACGAATTCAGGTGAGGCTACTGCCATGACGCCTACAACAGCGACTACTACTACTACTACTACTACTACTACTACTACTACTACTACTACTACAACCACCCCGACTACTACTGCTACTACTACTACTACCACCCCGACTACTAATACTGCTACTGATACTGCTTCTACTACTATTAGCTCTACAACTACTACAACCGACTCCTGCTACTTCTACTCAGACTACTACTACTACTACTACTACTACTACTACTACTACTACTACTACTCCTACTACACCCACTGCTACTTCTAGTCCGACTCTAATACTTCTACTTCTATTCCGACTACTACACCGACTACTACAACTACTACTACGCTAAAATGTGGATCAGGTGGTCAGTTTATGACTTCTTGCACCGTATTTTGATCATTGCTCATTCACTCACTGGCTATCCTGGAGTCCACTATTTATAAGCCGCTGTATGCTGGAATATTGCAGACTATGGTTCTACTTCGCGTTTTGCAACAGTCCACCCGAATCACGAGGGGGACACACACAGTTCTTCCCACAGGGTACATATTCACTCATTCTTTGTACACGTTGAGCTGTCCACGCCACGTATCACGCAACAACGGCACTACCCTACTACACTTTTGTTTACAATGCAACTGTACTTCTTCCACGTGACTGTATTTCATCATAAGTGTCGTAACTTGAAGGCAGTAGCACGATACGCTTGATACACTTTGTAGGTTGTTTCGGGACTGCCTGTTGTGGGCTGTTTCGGTTCTGACAATCCTGCCGTCATCCTTATACTTTCTCAAATGCCCCACAATTCGCCGTCAACAGTTGGTACCTTAGAAGTGCCAGAAACCTATGATGGTGTTCGAACCAAAGATTCTCCATGGCTATGTTTCAACGTTTGCCAGCACAACAGCCGTGCTTGTCGTAAAGTAGTAAAGTTGTAAACGTCTAATACTGCTTCAGTCCGGGTTTCCCTTTAACATTAAGCTGACACGCTGAGATACAACAGAGTGAGCGAGTGAGTTGGGTTTAATGCCGATTTTAACAGTATACCAGTTATATCACGGCGTGTCAGCTTAATGTGGGAGTCAAGCTCAGGTGATGCAGGTCTCAGACATTTATCACTTCGGTGAGACCCACGAGCCCGAGTATGGTGCTGACAAACCTAGAAACATAATCGGGGCGAACTGGGATTCGAACCCACAATCATAGGTTTCTGGTGGGCCCAAGGGACGCAACTCTGCACAACCTATCGCGGCGCCTTAGAATGACTGGGCCACCCGTGTCCCCGTGATACAACTGAAATAGTGTTCAAAGCTTAACTTTAAAGGGTTAAACAAAACTCACTCACTCGCAAAGCCATTTAACACATGTACCAACAAATCAATGTGTTTTACAGGTAAACGTATCCAGATGGCGAAGATGTTAACGCTGACTATCATACCCACCGTCATGCTCGTCGTTCTCTCCATCCTCGACGTTGTGAAGGTGTCAGCGCGCAACCAGGTCGGTCATAACGTGCAGGACATGATCCGACTCAGCACCGACGTCGGCAAGTTTATCCATTACATTCAGCGGGAACGAGGGTACACCTCACTGCACATCTCCGCAACCGCCAGCACAGGGTCAGAGGTCCTCTTGAGAAACAGCTTTCGGGAAACGAACGAGGCCCTGGAGACGCTCGGTCGATGGCCTGGCGAGACACAGACACCGATGGAACGATTTCCTACGAAAGAAAACTTTTTGCTGTATCTTGAAGATCACAGAGATTCGTTGCTTACCTCCCCTGGATCGACCACGCTTTACAAAGAGGTAAAGTTCTACAATAACGTCATTAGAACGTTTATAACCTGGTTGTACAAGGCTATACAGTTCTCGCAAGAAGGAGATAACTGGAGAATGATGGTTGCCTATCAACTACTTTTAACAAGTAAAAATGACATAGGCGTGGAGAGAACGCTCGGGAGTGTTTATTACCTGACGGGTGAGTTCAATCAAAGAGACTACCTGTGGTATCTACGTAAGAAGAATGTCGGGAATGGAAACTTTGAAGCGTCAAAGCTCTTTTCACCTCTTGTTGAGAGCTATTTTAAACAAGATCTGGACAAACAAAAGGAACCCAATATCACCCAAAACATTGAAAATATGCGTGTGGAAATAAGCTCGAGCAATGGGACTATATTACCATCGGCCGAAAAAAGTAAATGGTGGTTCGACAACATGACAGTGTATCTCGACGTCCTGTTCGACACACAGCTGATGCTTGCTGACGTCATCCTGGAATCATTGAACCACGAATTTACAGAAGATATACGAAACATTTCGTTGAGCATAGCTCTGCTCTGCGCCATTTTAATTATCTGCCCTTTGATAGTCATATCTGTGCGCGCGTTAGTGTCGGACATTCAGCGTTACGCTTTCACGCTCGCAGACCAAACTAAAGAATTGACTCGTGAAAGACAAAGGACGGAATCGTTGCTGTACCAAATGATTCCAAAGGCTGTCGCTGACCAGTTGAAGACAAACACAGAGGTGGAGGCCGAGAGTTATGAAGCAGTCACTATTTTCTTCTCGGATATTGTCGGATTTACGAGCATTTCGTCGATGTGCACACCGATGGAGGTGGTGGCGCTGTTGAACACTTTGTACACGTGTTTTGACGCCCGTCTCGAGATCTACGATGTCTATAAGGTCGAAACAATTGGGGATGCCTACATGGTCGCTTCCGGTAAGTCGTTTGGACGCTTTCAGTATATCGTGGTGTCGCTCCCTATAAGACGTGTGGCTGCTTCTGGTGAGTCTTGTTACCGCTTCCAGTACAGTCGCGTGGCCAATTCCGGTAAGACATGTGGCCGCTTCTGTTGAGTCGCGTCCGCTTCCAGTAAAGTCGTATGGCCGCTTCCGATAAGACGTGTGGATGCTTCCGGTGAGTCATGTGACCGCTTCCAGTAAAGTGGTGTTGCCGCTTCCGGTAAAGGGTTGCCGCTTCCGGTGATTCGCATAACATGCTCCGATACTTCTGGTAAGTCGTATACACATAATTTAAGAGAAACTAACGGTTAAATACATTTTCGGTTTAGTTATTCACGACTTTAAAACTTGTGTTTACTGCAGATGTTCCTTGCAGTCGCCGAGTATATATAAGTGTTCAAACATGTGTTGCCAGAGGTCGCCGAGAATATCCTAGTGTCCCTGTAGATGTTACCTGCAGTCTCCTAGAGTATGTCCTGGATGTCATACAGGTGTTCCCTCAGTCACAAAGTATATACTAGTTATCATACAGGTGTTCTCTCAGTGAACGAGTATATACTAGTTACCATACAGGTGTTCCCTCAGTCACAAAGAATAGACCAGGTTTCATACCGATGTATCCTCAGTGACAAGTATATACTAGTTATCATACAGGTGTTCCCTCAGTCACAAAGTATAGACCAGTGTTCATACTGATGTTCCTTCAGTCACCGAGTATATACTAGTTACCATACAGGTGTTCCCTCAGTCACAAAGTATAGACCAGTATTCATACTGATGTTCCTTCAGTCACCGAGTATAGACCATTGTTCACTGCAGGTGTCCCCGGGAGTATATACTAGTGTTTGTCATATAATGGATGGTGCTATCGATGTCATAAACCAATGCGAAGACCCATCCGACCGAACGGCGCGCATGATATAATATGTATTCCAGACACATTCCGCCAATAATCTCTATTTATTACCCCCGGGTTGAAGACGTCATACGTCACACTTTTGTCGTACAAGGTTGACCTTGTTTTGACCTGGAATCTATATAAGTTATGCATAAATATACTGCAGACGTTATGTAATCGAACTACGTGGATATCCAGTGTTCATGTACGACTAAAGAGAGATCGTGGTCCCCATGAGCGAGATGCACCAGACCACTTTCGCGACTTTCAAATTGATTTCGTGTAAAGAGACGTGGCGAAATGAAATTAGTTTACACTATTTGAACCAATATCTAGACTTACGTTGGATGATCCTGTGCCATCAGTGTTCTATTCCACCGTAGTTTGTGGCACTGTTTCCGAACGCGCTTGTTTGCGGATGAACGTACACACGACTGCACGATCAGATCACTCAAAGTGAACAGTCCCGACACAAATCATTCGAAAACTCCATGGAAGTGTACCTGACATCTGATTATGTGGCCCAAATATCCAAAAATGTGAACAATAAATTCCTTATTGATCTCTAGCGTAATACTGTGTGCAGACCGTTGTCTTTTCCTTTTCTGGTAACCTTGCCCTTCGTTTGAGGTGGTGAGGTGAAATGGGGTTCAACGTCGCGTCCAAGATTATGGATATGGACTTAAATAGCGACGCGCATGCATGTGTGTGTGTGGCTGCTTGTACTAGTCCGGACTGATGCCGATTTATAGTGCTACCTCACTGAGATACCATGCCGCAGTTTAACATGAATACCCCACTCAGACACAGTATACTGACTCCGAGCCGACCTGTCCTTGTTTTAGCCCCTTAATGCCGAGCGCCAGACAGGGTAACAACAAGTACCATCTTTTAACGTCTTTTGGTATGACGCGGGCGGGGATCGAACCCCGGACCTTCCGCTCTCCGGGCGGACGCTCTACCACTAGACCACGGAGGCGGTCCCTTCGTTTGAAGCTCCCACTGACACAGTATGCAATCGGACTCGAGTTTGTTGATTATCACTTCTTCAGTATAGGATCCTACAGTTGGGCCTAACCTGAACGACCGTTAGTATGATTGAATGACCAAACTAAAACCAGGTGTCTATATTAGTGTTCATTACAGGTGTTCCAGGTGTCTATATTAGTGTTCATTACAGGTGTCTATATAAGTGTTCATTAAAGGCGTTCCAGGTGTCTATACTAGTGTCCATTACAGGTGTTCCAGATGTCTATACTTGTGTTCATTACAGGTGTCTATATAAGTGTTCATTAAAGACGTTCCAGGTGTTTATACTATTGTTCATTACAGGTGTTCCAGGTGTCTTTACTAGTGTTCATTACAGATGTTCCAGGTGTCTATACTAGTGTTCATTACAGGTGTTCCAGATGTATATACTAGTGTTCATTACAGGTGTTCCAGATGTCTATACTAGTGTCGATTACAGGTGTTCCAGGTGTCTATACTAGTGTCCATTACAGGTGTTCCCGTTGTCTATACTAGTGTCCATAACAGGTGTTCCAGATGTCTATACTAGTGTTCATTACAGGTGTTCCAGGTGTCTATCCTAGTGTTCATTACAGGTGTTCCCGTTGTCTATACTAGTCTTCATTACAGGTGTTCCAGGTGTCTATCCTAGTGTTCATTACAGGTGTTCAAGATGTCTATACTAGATTCAATTACAGGTGTTCCAGATGTCTATACTAGTGTTCATTACAGGTGTTCCAGGTGTCTATCCTAGTGTTCATTACAGGTGTTCCCGTTGTCTATACTAGTGTTCATTACAGGTGTTCCAGGTGTCTATACTAGTGTCCATTACAGGTGTTCCAGATGTCTATACTAGTGTCCATTACAGGTGTTCCAGATGTCTATATTAGTGTTCATTACAGGTGTTCCGGATGTATATACTAGTGTTCATTCAGGCGTTCCAGATGTCTATACTAGTGTCGATTACAGGTGTTCCCGTTGTCTATACTAGTGTTCAATACAGGTGTTCCAGGTGTCTATACTAGTGTTCATTACAGGTGTTCCAGATGTATAAAATAGTGTTCATTACAGGTTTTCCCGTTGTCTATACTACTGTACATTAAAGATGTCTGTACTAGTGTCCATTACAGGTGTTCCAGATGTCTATATTAGTGTTCATGACAGGTGTTCCAGATGTATATACTAGTGTCCATTACAGGTGTTTCCGTTGTCTATACTTGTGTTAATTACAGGTGTTCCAGGTGTCTATCCTAGTGTCCATTTCAGGTGTTCCAGGTGTCTATACTAGTGTTCATTACAGGTGTTCCAGAAGTCTATACTAGTGTCCATTTTAGGTGTTCCAGGTGTCTATCCTAGTGTCCATTACAGGTGTTCCAGATGTCTATACTTGTGTTCATTACAGGTGTTCCAGGTGTCTATACTAGTGTCCATTACAGGTGTTCCAGATGTCTATACTAGTGTTCATTACAGGTGTTCCAGATGTCTATACTAGTGTTCATTACAGGTGTTCCAGGTGTCTATCCTAGTGTCCATTACAGGTGTTCCCGTTGTCTATACTAGTGTTCATTACATGTGCTCCAGGTGTCTATACTAGTGTCCATTACAGGTGTTCCCGTTGTCTATACTAGTGTCCATTACAGGTGTTCCAGATGTCTATACTTGTGTTCATTACAGGTGTTCCAGACGTATATACTAGTGTTCATTACAGGTGTTCCAGATGTCTATACTAGTGTCCATTACAGGTGTTCCCGTTGTCTATACTAGTGTTCATTACAGGTGTTCCAGGTGTCTATCCTAGTGTTCATTACAGGTGTTCCAGATGTATATACTAGTGTTCATTACAGGTTTTCCCGTTGTCTATACCACTGTACATTAAAGGTGTTTATACTAGTGTCCATTACAGGTGTTCCAGATGTCTATACTAGTGTTCATTACAGGTGTTCCAGGTGTCTATCCGAGTGTTCATTACAGGTGTTCCCGTTGTCTATACTAGTGTTCATTACATGTGCTCCAGGTGTCTATACTAGTGTCCATTACAGGTGTTCCAGATGTCTATGCTAGTGTTCATTACAGGTGTTCCAGGTGTCTATCCTAGTGTTCATTACAGGTGTTCCCGTTGTCTATACTAGTGTTCATTACAGGTGTTCCCGTTGTCTATACTAGTGTCCACTACAGGTGTTCCAGATGTCTATACTAGTGTCCATTACAGGTGTTCCAGATGTCTATACTAGTGTTCATTACAGGTGTTCCAGATGTTTATACTAGTGTTCATTACAGGTGTTCCAGATGTCTATACTAGTGTCCATTACCGGTGTACCAGATGTCTATACTAGTGTTCATTACAGGTGTTCCAGGTGTCTATACTAGTGTTCATTACAGGTGTTCCAGATGTATATACTAGTATTCATTACAGGTTTTCCAGGTGTCTATACTACTGTACATTAAAGGTGTCGATACTAGTGTCCATTACAGGTGTTTCCGTTGTCTATACTTGTGTTCATTACAGGTGTTCCAGGTGTCTATCCTAGTGTCCATTTCAGGTGTTCCAGGTGTCTATACTAGTGTTCATTACAGGTGTTCCAGAAGTCTATACTAGTGTCCATTTTAGGTGTTCCAGGTGTCTATCCTAGTGTCCATTTCAGGTGTTCCAGGTGTCTATACTAGTGTTCATTACAGGTGTTCCAGAAGTCTATACTAGTGTCCATTTTAGGTGTTCCAGGTGTCTATACTAGTGTTCATTACAGGTGTTCCGGGTATCTATGTTAGTGTTCATTACAGGTGTTCCAGATGTCTATACTAGTGTCCATTACAGGTGTTCCAGATGTCTATACTAGTGTTCATTACAGGTGTTCCAGGTGTCTATACTAGTGTTCATTACAGGTGTTCCAGGTGTCTACACTAGTGTCCATTACAGGTGTTCCCGTTGTCTATACTAGTGTCCATTACAGGTGTTCCAGATGTCTATCCTAGTGTCCATTACAGGTGTTCCCGTTGTCTATACTAGTGTTCATTACAGGTGTTCCAGGTATCTATGTTAGTGTTCACTACAGGTGTTCCCGTTGTCTATACTTGTGTTCATTACAGGTGTTCCGAGGAAAAATGGCAACAAGCACGCTGTGGAGGTGGCGACTATGGCGCTTGACCTCGCACATCACGTGACTCACCTAGAGATCCCCCACTCCCCCAACACCCCATTCCGTCTCAGAGCTGGGGTCCACACAGGTGAGGAGTAAGTTTAATGTCAGTACATACATATGTGTTGCATCCTTTCGTGCAGGTTCAATGTGTAGGATAAATACGTCCGAGGGATTTTATGGTTTAAAAACCCCCATTCGAAGGTTTGAAATGTAAAACAATAAACCCGTGGGAAAGTGTTTTGCCTCACTTATGAATCGAAAGAAAAACCTAAAAGAACATTTATCAACAACAGTTTTAAGTTTCAGAAGCACTTTCCATGAATCTTATGAAACGGACGTAAAATATATCTTGACGGCGCACGTGTAAAGATATTCTTTAAAACATTGTTATTTATCAGCGCCCTTACGGAGGTTGCAAGGTCGGTCGACTAAAATATAAACTGTATCTTGAGTATGAAATCGGTGGTATTTTGTGTGTAAAATCGTTTTTAACAAGTTGAGGATTTGAGAGTTGAGACATTGCCAGAGCAATTGGTGACGTCACTGGAGGTTCGTAAGTTCGGTTTATTAAGTAAAGCAGTCGTATAAGGAAGCTAATGTCACTGCTTCCTTCAACAACAAACGATTTGTTAAAACATATTCTGTTGGATTAAATGTGACATCCATCTTGGTTATATCCCCGGTGGTAATTAGGGGTATCACACCAAAGGGCAAAGGACACAAGATGGAATACCTCGACCGTATCTCGACAGAAAGACACCACTCCAATCGTTGATTCACACACACACAAACGACTCAATAACAATAACGAGCTGTCGGACAACTTAGTATTTGGGATGCAAGCGTGACATTTCGAAGGCAAGGTCCGCATATTTGCCATGATTTTCCTGAATCTTTGTTTTTTATAAAAAAAATTATATTATTATTATTATTATTATTGATGATGATGATGATTATGATTATTATTATTATTATTACCTCCCAGGACCAGTTGTGGCAGGGGTAGTCGGGTCCAAGATGCCACGATACTGTCTGTTCGGGGATACCGTCAACACTGCATCCAGGATGGAGTCCACGGGCATGGGTAAGTAATTAACTGCTGGACTGTAGCTAAAAGCGGCCTAAAACCACACTCACTCACTCACTCATTAACTGAGTGAGTGGGTTATTTTGGTAAACTACACCGTAGACAGTATTATTCGAGCTAAGCACGGCCAAAGTGATATCAAGCACAAGCGAACCAGCGGTGGATAACATGAGAGTTGATACACGTTACCCAGAGTCGACCTCACACCAAATCAACCAGGTCACAGTTTGGTGTACCAAGTGGAGAAAGCGCTATGCAAACGGAACTTTCCTACTATGTCTATGTTTTACAACACACACGGGTATCTATGGCATTTACCACCAAGATTGACCCCGCAGAATTTGTTCCCAATGTGTCTATCCACAAAGCGCTACGTCTGTCGTAACGTGTAACGTAGACTAACGACTGTCGTAACATGAAACGGAGACTTACGTCTGTCGAAAAGGGTAACGTAGACTGACGCCTGCCGTTACGTGTCACGGAGACTTACGACTGTCGTAACGGGTAACGTAGACTTACAACTGTCGAAACACAGAGTCATAGAACACTTTGTGGCTCGGGCCAATGGACTCTTTTGCATGTCGCGGCTAAACTGGATCGGGTGCCGACGTTATATAGATAGATATTACTGACTTCGGCGTTGAGACTGTTGCAACAATGAGGCGCTACTGATTGTAATCGAACCAGGGCCCCGTTCCAGAAAGCGATCGTAACTTCAATCAATCTTAGAGACTTACGTCGATTTTAAAATCGTCTTAGCTAAGGTTTACACCCGTTCCACAAAACGATCGTAGGGTGATTGTAACTTTACAAGTTCTTGAGTAGCCGATCTTAACAAAGATTGGAATCTTCAGCCACGAAGCTACACAAGTTTCCCTTAGAGTGGCCTCCCTTGGTCATGTTTAGCAGACGACGCATTTCATTGCACATCATAATAAAAGTTGCCATCTTTGTTGTTATGGTACAATATTTAAGATCGATTTTAGCAATCCTAAGTTGGTCCGGAGCAACTTAGCATTTTGATCTTAACTTACAACTCTCTTAGTTAAGATTGCTTTGTTGAACGGGCGGCTGATCGTAACAAAAATTTAAGATCGCATACTTAGTGAGTTACAATCAACTTAGCCCTAAGATCGCTTTGTGGAACGGGGCCCGGGTTATCGTGATCCGACTTGGACCTTGTCGCGTTAACTGTTCAATAACGATTGCTATTTCAGTCTCCAGATGGGATAAAGTTTGAAGTATTAATGGCCTAACAGTACTTAGTCTTGAACAGCACAGGGTCTGGTTCCACAAAGTAATCTTTGTGCGACGATGATCGTAAGCCTAAGTATATTGAAGTATGGGGATTCTGATTACCTGAGCGCTAAGATGCCTACGTGGAACGGACCCCTGGAGATCGTTTACAAAGATTATAAGGGTCTATCAACCATAATAACGCATACATTCAATTTGAAAAAAATATTTTTTTACAACACACAAATACAAGGTCATCTAGATGTTGACCATACGTGTGACATTTTGTTCCCTTTTGGAATATAACTAATGCCATTTCATCCGCTGGTATACAGAGTTTGTGAACGATGTTTTGCAGTAAGCTTGGTGGTTCCTGCAGTTTGTTTTAAGAATTATCAAACCTTCGTCATCTGTCACGGCACATGCTTGTCCACCACACAGCTGGGGCGCAACTGCGCGGAGGCCCGGTGGTCAAGGCGTCGTAATTAGGTATGCAGAGTTGCGTCCCTTATCTATACCAGGAACCTATGATCGTGCGTTGGAATCCCGGTTAGCCCTGATTATGTTTTTATGCTTGTCAGCACCCTACCCGTGCTTGTTGGTTTCACCAAAGTGGTATACGGTAGACGACGACAATGACAATGATGATGACGAGGCCGAGGCCGAGGAGACCGATTAACATTTGTAAAGTCTGTGATTCAATAAACGAGGGAGATATCCGTTGCCACTCATCTTAACAACGAACTCCAAATGACACAGCAATGGAAATTTACCATATTTCGATTATGATTAATATCTTTTCATTTCGCCCGAATGGTTTGTTGATTTCATTTTATAACCCAGTGTTTGTTTCACAAGTGATATCGCACGCCATCGCTTGTCATTAAGAGCTGATTGATTGATCGTAATGTACATGAGTTTTGAGTAGTGCTACCATTTCTCATCTCCGTAATAGCGGTGCCGGAGGAGATACGGCACTGTGATTTGTCACATGAGCTGCTCCCTGACAGCTGACGCGAAAGCAATACACCAAAATAATACACCAGATTATGCAGATAAAAAACAGCACGTATGTGATGAGTGGAAAATATTTGCAAACATCAATGCAATCACTCATGGAGATTTATCGAAAACAGATTACTTTTCATAAAAAAATACTCACATAATTTGGGGCAGATATTGCTATTAGTTGAAACGAGGATGGTTGGTTCATTACTGGCCATTTGTGAGTGATCAGTTGATACCCTCATGAAAACTTGTCAACATGCTATTTCATAGTCCTTAAGTATTTGCCCGAGGCAGGGTAACAACAAGTTCCATCATTCAACGCCTTTTGGTATGACGCGACCGGGCATCGGACCGGCGACCTTCCGCTCTCCGGGTGGACGCACTCTCCACTAGAACACACAGAGTACCTACCAACGTGGAATTCATGTTCAATAGTCACAATGTTACATCGCAGCCTACATTCCAAAAGGATATTCTGGTAAAACAACAACCTGTCACAATTTTAGTCACGTCCAAATGTTACCGAATTAGTGCTGCAACAAACTTATACGAGAAAAATTGTATCTCGCCATGGTTCGCTTCAGTTGGGTAATGGTAAACCGCAGATCTGCATCTGATTTGTCATTACATAAATTAACGAGGCACAGGTGCCCAATCGTCTCAGGCGCCGGAATTCGTTATGCAGAGTTGCGTCCCTTAGGCGTACCAGAAACCGTGATAGTAGGTTTGAATCCCGGTTCGCCCTGATCATGTTTCCAAGTCTGTCGGCTATATACCTGTGCTCGTGGGTTTCACCACCGTCAAGCTGCCATACCAAAATATAACAGAAATACTGTTGAAAATGGCGTTAAACCATACTCACTCACTCATATATTAACATTAATATTAAACATAAGGATTATGTACATTGTGTTAACGGACCGGGAGCGTAGGGGTGGGGTAGGGTAGGGTGGGGGTCTCTTGTTCCGCCAGTGTGCAATGTACAACATCGTTGAAATGTGGAAATTATCAAAAACTGGTGGTAAGTATTGTGTGCAGTCACGAAAACAGGTTATTTGAAACTGGCCATGAAAAAGGATCTTCAGTAACTTACAGATTGTAAGTAAGCGATCTTTGAAGGAGTTAGTGTGTGTGTGTGTTTGTCTGTGTGCGAGTGTGTATGTGTGTGTGAGAGAGTGTGTGAGTATGTGAGAGAGTGTGTGTATGTGTGAGTGTGTTTATCTGCATGTGTGTGTGTGTGTGTGAGTGGGAGAGTATGTTTGTCTGTGTGTGTGAGTGTGTAAGAGTTTTAGTGTGTGTGTGTGTGAGTGTGTAAGAGAGTTTATGATTGTGAGTGTGTGTGAATGTGAATTTGCGTGTGTATGTGAGAGTATGTGTGTGTGTGTGTGTGTGAGAGAGAGAGAGAGAGAGAGAGAGAGTTTGTGTGTGTGTGTGTGTGTGTGTGTGTGTGTGTGTGTGTGTGTGTGTGTGTGTGTGTGTGTGTGTGTGTGTGCCCCTACTTTACCAAAGCACAACCCAGTGACCATCTTCCCGAGGCAAGAGAGTTAACTGACTATAAAAGTCCAGTTTCCACCCTTGCCGAACCTGGCTCGTATTATGGAGTTACATTTTGGCTGGACTAACGAGTCTATGCATAGTCCAATCAAAATTGCGCACCGAAATCGAAATCCGGTTCGCAGAGTGTCATGCAGATTTCAGTCGACTGCAGGATTTGCAAAGCATGTGGACCGCTAACTCGTTGTCAACAGATATTTTCTCAATCTTTTCATGTTTTTAATGAAGGTGCTCACGTGATTTGATGCACTTCGCGATGTAAGACTCGTTTTATCACAATATAGATCTTGAATATCGATCAGATGGTCTTGACTGGGCGCCACCGTTTTGTTTGAAACAAATGCAAGTGATACGAGAGGTTGAATCTGATTGGTCAATAGGAGAGGCATAGAAAGGACATAACTCGTAATAGCCACTGGCGGCGCTACGATCGAGCCCAGGAATTCCAGCCTAGTTCGGCAAGGGTGGAAACCGGACTTTTAAAGTCAGTTAACTCTCTTGCCTCGGGAAGATGCCCAGTGACAAGTGTCACAAATGATGCTACCAATGCATGTGCTCCAGAGCCACCTAGTAATAATGAGATGACATAAGGAAATACTTCGGATCTCATTAAGGATAACTATCCACCCTATTTTGTGAAAAGAATGTTTATGATAATAATGTTGCTAATAAAACGTTCACTACGTCAATGAAATGGAAGAGCTGACGAGTAAATTAATGGACTTACCAGTGAGTGAGTGAGTATGGTTTTACGCATCTTTTAGCAGTATACCAGCAATATCACGGCTGATGACACCAGAAATGGGCTTCACACATTGTACCCATGTCGGGAATCGAGCCCTGGTCTTCGGTGCGACGAACGACCGCTTTAACCAGAGACCGCCCCTTAATGGACTACTCAGCAAACTTGTGTGGACATAAACGCCGTCTGGAATATCCAGACTTTATTAATTTATTTAAGTGAATGTGTTTGGGTTTACGCCGCTTTTAGAAATATTCCAGCATTGTCATGGCGGGGGACAAAGAATATGGTCTTCATACATTGTATCGATTTGGGGAATCGAACCCAGTACTTTCGGGTACGGTTAAACCGTTAAGATATCCCACCGACAACAAAGCATAAAACATCCCTGCTCTCATATAAGTTCTACATTGTTGGATAAAATATTAAAAACCCAGTGCTGTGGGTGCATGTATAT